TTTTTAAAAAAAAAGGAAGGGGGGGAAAAAAAAGTTTTCCTTCTGACTCCCTGGATTTTACACTTGAGTTTCACAGCCTCCTCTTACCTTCTTGGCTATTCAAAAAGAGCTGCACCTTTTTAAGATGCACGAGCAGTCAGTAAGAGAATAGACAGAGGAGAAAGCACAGGAAAACACAAAGGCAGGAAAAAGAAATCTTACTAAGCTAATTAGCTGTTAACCCACAGCACTTTTCCTTAGATAAGAGCAGTTCTGCCGCATATTCTTTGCAGGTGAAGTCAGTCCTAGACGAGATTATCGCGAGGCTGCTGGAGCCGTTCAATATGGAGGAGATCATGGCGAAAGCGGTGGACAAGACCCCGTACGTTGTAGTTGCCTTCCAGGAATGTGAGAGAATGAACATCTCGACCCAAGAGATCAGGCACTCTCTGAAAGAGATAGACTTGGGCCTGCAGGTAGGCGTGAGGCAGCTCCTGGAAAGCACCTCTCCCCACCAAACGATTCCCCGCGATTCGCCAGCGGCTGTTGCTCGATTCAAGCCTTGTCTTGTTCAAAGTGCTTGGCTCCCCTCGCTCACACTCTTACAGATCCCGCTGTGCTGGCTCCGGCCAGACGCTGCCAGCCTCCTGCTTCGCGAGGAGTCTGAGGCCAAATGCTTCCACCAGTCTCGCTTTCTTCAGATAAAACTGCCCAGGCTTTTCTCTTCTTTAAAGGGAGAACTAACGATTACGTCACACATAGAGGAGCTGGAGAACGCGCTCTTCTACGACAGCGTTCCTGAATCCTGGACACGTTACACCTATCCCTTTCTCCTTAGCTTAGGAGCCTGGTACGCAGACCTGCTCCTTCGGATTAGGGCGAGCAGATTTCTTGTGAAAGTTAAAGCTTAGGGAGCAAGCGGATACCACAGAAAACCAGGAGCCACCTCCATCAGTGTACAGTGGTTAACTGGTTTATTTTGTAATATTAACTTAAGCAGTTTGAAGTACCTGAAATGGCCTGTTACCCAAGAATGAGAGCAGAAGTCTGAAAAGGGTTCACCACCGGAGTATATCACTGCTTCAAAAGAATATTAGCTAACCCCATCATAATGTTATATGTCTCAGAAGAAAAAAATATTTTATAAAACCATCTATTTTAAGTGTGGCTTTGTTAAAAAAAATACCAGCAGTATTTACTGCCATCCAAATTCGTGGTTTAAGTTTCATTGCTGCAGTGGAATCTGCTATTATTCACCCCAGACCACCTCCACCCTAGTCTGCCCATCTGGAAGACGACCTGAAGCTTGCGTGTTGGGCACAGTGAGGCACCAGCTCTTTGTCACCTCATACCTCAAAGCAGTACGCTGCTGCTCAAAGGCCACGCTGCACTCTGAAGCACTTGGCTGGTTTTATTTTCCAGGAACTGGAAGTCTGGACAACAGACTTTGTACTGCCTGCAACAGTGTGGCTGGCAGGATTCTTCAGCCCCCAGTCCTTCCTCACTGCCATCATGCAGTCCACGACCAGGAAAAACAAATGGCCGCTGGACAAGATGTGTCTGTCAGTGGAAGTGACCAAGAAAAACCGTGAGGATGTAAAAGCTCCACTCAGAGAAGGCTCCTACGTGCATGGATTATTCATGGAAGGTAAAAGATTGTATCTTTTGTGAGATGTTTCAGACATGGAGGAAGCCCCGTTCAGCCTTAAAAACTCTTGCACGCAGAGCAGGTGTTCGTACTCATGGGCTTATTTGGATTTGTACAGCTTTTGCGAGAGCTCCAAGCAGCAGAGCCTTTATGCGGCACTGCTGTCAGACACGCCAGCTGAGGGCAGCACCCGCCCAGCTCACAGAGTTTCACAAACCAGAAGCTGTTTGTGGAAATTCAGACTGCGTATCATGAACCCAAGGACCGAGTTGTCTGAGGCCACACGGCTCTAGGGAATAAATATATCACACTCTTATCTGATGTGCAAGTAAGATGAATCAGGAAACTCAGAACCTAAAGCTAAAAACGAGGGGGAATGAGATGGGCAGCATCAGCAGAGCACCGAAGGGGTCCACTTAGGACAGCTATCGTAGTTCCCACCACGGCCAAGTTCTACCTTCAGCTGTGCAACTTCCATGAAACTACTGCTGAAGGGATGAGTGGGGACAGGATTTATTTAGACATCCCACACACAGTAAGGCAAAATGCATTCATGAGTCACAGTGAGATGAAAACACGTTAGTTAGCCCTAACGACTACAAAGCCACGGGTACCCAGCCTTCACACCCCACCCTCGGCTCCTTCCCACCCGTCAGCAGTTAGGAAAACAGCCCCCTCTAAGTGGCGAAGCCACTGGGAAGCTGGGACCCTGACAGTCTCATCATGTTGCAGGCGCTCACTGGGACATCCCTTCTGGTGCGATCGCAGACGCTCGGCTGAAGGAGTTGACGCCGATGATGCCAGTCATCTTCATCAGAGCCATCCCTGCGGACCGCATGGACACCAAGAACGTCTATGAATGTCCTGTCTATAAGACCCGGACGCGAGGTCCCACCTATGTCTGGACCTTTAACCTAAAGACAAAAGAAAACGCTGCGAAGTGGGTCCTCGCCACTGTGGCTCTGCTCTTACAGATCTAAACTTCAATGACTGTGGAAAACAGCAAATGCTTTTACTTGCAAAAAAACCTCAAAGTTGTGTAACTCAGACAAAGTTTGATTGTAACAGAACTATTTTAGCCAAGTATCAATAAAAACATTGCTGGAACTGCTGTCATGTGGAGACTGCTCTTAAAATACGTGGAGTTTCTCACGACAGATACTGGTTTTTAGTTGGTGGTTTCTGATAAAGTGCTGGTTGAGCGCCAGGCCACCGATGGAAGCCAAACGGAACAATTGCGTGCAGCTATCCGGATTCCTTTCCTTCTCATAGCTCTCTGTCTTTCCACAGCTATTTGTTTGATCGCTTACTGCAAACTGTGAGCAGAAATCATCAAGCCGTGTGCACGGCAGACTCCTGCATGGCAGCACGCATCTGTTCAGACCAGGTGGACGCAGAAAGGTGCAGATTTGGCCCAGTTCACCAACACACCAACCAGCACATCCCAGAGAAAGTCCATCTGCCAGCAGATCAGTCTCTGAAGTATGTCCCTTTCTATTTCTAGGCTACAGAAGCTACTCTACCCTTTCTTTCACAACACATAATAGGCCTAACTGCTGATACAAATTGGGTGTTGAGATCTGCTCTGGTCACCATACTGGAAGCCAACGCCCGCTGCTTTATCATAAAATAATTTACCAAAATTCCACCCCATGAAATATCTGAACAATTAGTTCTAAAATGCAGCTGCACAAAACTGTCCTCACAGCTAGCAGTAAGAAAAGCCACATGGGGAGGCAAGGGGAGCTGCTTGTTTCTTTATAAAGTAGTAGCACTGAGACTAAATTACCATTAAGCTTTACGCTTATCTTCAGCTTTTTCAGGTGTCAGAAATCCCTTTTGTTGGCAATACAAGATCAGAACACAGTGCACACGCTCTGCCAGAGAAACTCATGGGCAGCCCAAGCCTGCGCTCTAACACATTTTTGTCTGGCTTCCCAACCAAGTTCTTTGCAGGGTGTGCATTACGGTTTGAGCTTCCCACTCAGCAAGTGACATCCAAAAATCACACTGGCACCAAAAATCCTCTCATGCCCTCTCCACAATTCATGAAGGACACTCATAACACATCTTGACATGAAGGAGCCAGATACACAGCCCCAGAGATGGAGGCCGTATTTATGTAAATAAATAGGATGTGTGAACACTCAGCGTCAAGGGCACACGCTCAGGTGCCAACTGCATGGACTATGTGCACAGCACAGAAAAAAAAAAAAAAAATCTAAGAGTGATTCCATGAAGCTCAGAGGGGCTCCAGTTACTGGGCAGCTGAACAGCCAGGCAAACCCAGCACGCTGTGTGAAACAGAACGGCAAAAACAACTGCCCCTCTTAACAAACATCTACAAGGTTAAAGCAAAGCCCTGATCAGATAAAAAGAAGACAAAGTATTTTAAATACTTCAACGTTTTCTGTAAGCTGGTCAAGATAAAAACACAATCCTTCTCCACAAAACTCTGAAAGGGACATTTCAGAAATGGGAGCTTTATTTCTGTGCATGAGAAATACCCTCGTATGGGTTCTCTTCCACTGCCCCTTCCAGAAATTCTAGTAGATGAAACCCAATACAGACCCTGAGCAATGACTGCAGTCAGTGGCAAGAACCCCAGAAGAGAGATGCCTGGTTTTTTCCCCACATCACCTATGTTTCCATCATCTACTCCTTCCACAAGACAGAGTACTGCACTTCTTCATTGCAGTCAGTGCAATACAAATTCCCCGTAAGAATGGCAGAGAACTCACCCAAAGGAGCAGCTTTTCTTCTTTCAAAAGAAATTCTTGATCAGAGGTGTTACCAGCTTCACCCACAGTTTCACGTAACGATTTGGCTGCTCAAATGTTGATGATGAGACTACACCTGAGCAGAGGTAAAGCTGCTCCTGCTCCTATACAGGAAAAGAAACATCATCCCGGTAAATCCTACGTGTTAAATTACATAATGGCCTCTAAGAAAAGTGAGTTCTCAGATAAAACTGGCATGGATCCCGCCAAAAGGATGTCTCCTTTCTCCCACAAGCCTGAACATAAGACCCTCACTCCATGCAGCACAACTCACACGCAACTGAACCATCAAGGAGCGAGCACAGGATCTGTCCCTCACACCTGTCCACCACAGCACTCCACCTTTCGATGACTATCAGTACACTAAGTAACCGAACCTCAAGAATTAGCAATTTAAACTCTACAAAGAGCAAAGGTTTTGCCTTCTTGTGCCCCACAGCTGCAGGAGAGCTAAGCTTCAATTTCAGAAAAATCCTAAACCCCTTGCTGTAACTGCCAGAAAAGGAAGCCTTACCATAATCTCAAGAGACTGGCTTACGCAGCTCTTTCTAGGCAGAGCTCAAGCGCTGTGTTTTCAAATGAATATACAGTCATGATTTCAACTAAATTACCAGAAACACTTAGGCTTCTCCAGTGTGTACACAATACCGCTGAAGGAGGAAATGAACCATCATGATGATAACACACGCTTGCGTTGCACGTGAAAGCAGCTGTTTGATCAAAGGTAGAAGCAGTTTTCTTATCAAAGCCAGTTAGGTTTCCAGATTTGCAGGCAAACAAGGAGCAGAGCAGCTACTGTAAGTCAGTTCATAACCTTTTTTTCATTAGCTAAGCTGTTACAAACAACATAAAATCCTCCGCACTGTTTAAATTCAGGATGGAACAGGGAAGCAGGAACCAAGCATAAGACCAAAAAGATGAAACAACAACAGAAGGAAGACATCTGTGTGCCAAATCAGTCTAATTTTAGAAACCCAAATGCTCCAAGAGCTACAGTCAGCCCTGCACCATGGTCATCCGATATAGCGAGGTCATCTGCTCACTGGAAGCAAGACCATTTATCTGAAATGAAGTTCAGTTCATTCAGTAGAACATCCAAAGATACCCAGACCCCTCAGATCTCTTCCCAAATCTCATCACACGTTTATAAAATGGAACTGAATGTTACATAGGCAAAGTGATTTCATGGCAGCGTACCAGTAACGTATTAAGTCTTCTAAACAAAGACCACAGAACAGCAAACAAACAGCCAAAATCAGCTTCCAGCAAATGGGAATGGCTTCAGGCCCTGTAAATTAGATCACTGCAGCACTATTTCAGAAAATTCCTTTGTCATATTTTCATTGATTCTCCCCTTCCATTAGAAACAAGTAGAGGCAAGATATGAATTGAAATATCCAAGCAACTCTTCCAGTAATAGAATTGTTTTTGATTAGATAGACTCTGACTCATCCTGGGGAAGAGCCCTGATGCAACAGGGCAATTCCCATTGATCTTCAAGACAACTGTGCCTTCTTATGCCAGGACTTGGCTTAACAGAATGCATTTTTGAGATCCCTAAGTCCCACACAGAGGCACCAAACCAATTTGCTTTGTATCAGAGCACTACAAGAGAAATTACTTGTGACACTGTCAGTTCCAGCAGAAGATTCAGAGTCAAAACAGCTGGAGAACCAGGCAGGATTTAGAGAAGCAGCAAAAGTGCTGAGCAGTACAAGCTGCCTAACAATAAAAAAAAAAAACAAACAATAAACCAAACCAAAAACCTGGGATACTGAACATTAAACCACTGAAAAATGTTTGTCTAGATTCCATAATGTCTTATTATTATTCACAATTATATTATGTCATATAACTTCAGAGACAATCCAGCCAGCCCAGAAATCCTCTTACTGTAGAAACTACACTAAGATCCCCTGCCTCTGTTCACCTCCACAGCCTGTGGGCAGCCACCCAGAAGCTAACTGACCGGCATTTATACTCCTACAAAGGATTTCCCAAACGCCTGAGAAGCAAAATCCTCCAGAAGTCCCAGATCAGCAATTCAAAGGGCCTGACCTCATTATCCTAGAGCACGGTGCAACCCTGGCAATGCCCAGACTTGGAGGATAAAGCCCAAGAACGTGCTGCGTGATCAGCGAGCAGAGGAGGGCCAGCAGATCCTGGCTGAACGCTGTCTCTCGGCATCCAGTGCCTGAGCACTCCCAACACTCGAGTTCACCGGGGACACATGTTCTTTCCCGTTATGGCCCCTGTTTCCCAGAAACAGGCACTCGCAGCAGGCATCTCATCAATAGTCACTTAACTGACAGCTCCTTGAGACTTCCTATGCTCGAGAAGGTTTTGAATTATTGTAGCTGGAGGTTTTTATTGCAGCTGCGTCATCAGCATTCCCTGCGTGACCAAGAAGCACAACATCATGTTATCTCCCCGCAATCAGCCACTTACCTGATGGAGTTGCTGCTGCAAAGCTTTATTTTCTGTCACTATCGCAACCTGAGCTTCCAAGTCGCGATGAACCGATCGATACCCGAAATTCGGCGAGCCAATGAGCGTCAGGCAGGGAAGGTCGCTTCCCGCCAGGTACAGCCAGAGGCCTGCAAGAAAAAGAGGAGAAGAAAGGAAGCGTGGCAGACAGAGGAAACGACCGGGGCAGCCTCCGACAATCGCTTCACTTAGAAGAAATGAATTAAACATGTTAGATTACAGTAACTATAAAAGATCACGACACAAAGCAAGCCTCCTCACAGATGGTCTAGCATGTCCTGTACAGCTTCGTACGAACCTTGGGGTGCCCGTGCACAGTGGCATTGTCCAAACTCGTGCTCTTAACACAGGGCTGCAGCACGCTCGGTGCCGCCCTAGGGACACATTCCCAGGAATGTAAATACACTGCATGGAGGGGCCCCCAAAATAATCCGGAACAAGTCACTATCATCAGATTAGAGGTCATTTTGCACCACGGCATATCTCAGAAACACCGAAATAAGACAAACAGTTCTTCAGTAAAGAAAAACCTACAGCAAGCAGCAGAGCACCAGGCAGGCCAGGCCTGGGCCAGCAGTTCCCGAGCTGGAAGCGGTGCAGCTGACAGTGACTAACCCCCTTCCCGAGACGACACAGGACAGGGACATGAAGAGGCATCTCCCTGCTCTGACAGGTGAATTCACACGAAATTAAGACTAGTAGAGAAGTGCAAGCTATTACACCCACTCGCTTCCCGAGGAGACACCCAAAGATGACA